AGCTTAGGATCACCCTTTCTGAGATAGATCGTGCTCAGGAGGTGGGGATTTGCTGCTAGAATTGAGTTACTCACTCTCTAATTGACGCAGAGAAGGTCCCAATTTTTATTATTATTATTATTATGATTTATTTACGGCAATTGGGTTTGCACCCGGTGGCAGTGGTCCTTACACTATACAATTACAACAAAATACATATAAACAAGTACACTCCATAAACACCCCACACACATAACTAGACATCCACTCCTACAAAAACATTCCCCTTACACACAACACAAAAACACACATCCATTAATTAATCACAATACTTTAGATTAGAATATAAAGACAGACCTCAGTATATGATACTTTTATCCCAAAGAACTACAGCCCTTCATCACTTAGAGACTAAGACACTTCACTTCACTTCCCTTATCACCATCTAATTCCCACTTAATAACCCTTTGCTTGTAACTACTTTTCTGACCCTCTTTCTAAAGGTGCCTAATTTACAGGGGAAAGACTCTAGCACGCCTGGAGGTAATTGGTTCCAGCTTCTTATGGTCCTATTTACAAAGGAATATTTGCCTACATCCGTTCTTTGTTTCCTAGTCCTAATTTTCCGAGTATGATCGTCCCTGCCCAGGTAGCATGGCTTTAATAATCTATCCTCTATCATTTTCCAAGCCCGGCCCCCCGTGTATGCTTTGAAAAGGGCGCACATTCGGGCTATCAATCTACGCTGTGCCAATGTTTCCCAACCAGAAGGAGCCACTCAGATGTTTGACACACGCCACTGTCTGAGCTCTTAGTAATACTGGATCAAATGCTGTTGTTTGCAAAGTCACTGTCTGTAATGTTTCTGTGGCAGTAGGATTGGATATCTCTCAACAACCAGGTGGAGAATGGATTCGTGCTTCACAAGACATAGAAGCAGAGCAGATCTATTCAGTCGTGACCAAACTAAAATTTAATGGATGCTGTCACCACGATCATCACTACTAAAGCAAACTGATAGCTAATGAATCATCATGCTCACCAGACGGGAGATCACAACACAGTTCAAGAATTTGTCCATAAGGTCCAACACTTCCTCCTGGAATTGTGCATGCAGCACAAGATTCAAACTCCATTGTGCAGGCTCTGAGAACGTTTTGTCCACAGAATCTTTCCGTGGAGCGGGGAAACATCCATTCAGCTTCTCAATGACGTGAAGCTGCGTTTCAGAGCTGCACGTGCATGGACTCACGGAATGCCAGTTTATCACGAGGCAGCAGAGACCGTTACGAGTACAGAAAGTTTTGCCCAGGGCTCACTGATTTTGAATCTCTCCCTGATATATACAGAATCTTGATCTTATCATGTATGCTCTTTGTACCTCAGTGATTGATTGATTATGACAACCACTCTGACAATTACAGGGGGAGATTAGAGATCTTCACCACCACAGTTGCCTCAAGGTCAACGCCTGCCAAGTCAGCTCATTTACAGGAATACCGCATAAAAGTAACGTAATATAGTCAAATGTGAGCCGGGACAGCCCAGTCATTATAGTGATTAGCTACGGGCTGGACGACGGGTTCGATACCCGACGGAGGCAAAAGATTTTTCTTGTAGCCTCTGCGTCCAGACCGGCTCTGGGGCCCACCCAGGCTCCTGTCCAAAAGAACCGGGGATAAAACGCGGCTGACCACTCACCCCAAACGCTTACATGGCGTGTAGCGACTCTGTTTTACAGCAGCACGAGTGCTGTCACACGCAACGTCACTAGCAGAAAATCCTACAGAACCCTACGGTCATCAGGAAGATGGATTCGTCCTGCATAAGCATGCCAAGGAAGAGAGAGCGGGTCATCAGTTCAAAACACAGGAAAGGACCACTTCAGAAAATCCATCTACGAAATGACAATGAAGATCGACTCTTCTGAATCCAATGGAAAACAGAGTTGCAGAGAAGAATCAGTCCTCCAGTATGTCTCCTGTAATGGACTATAACAGCCACCTCAAACATTACAGCCATTCGGCAACAGTGGTGGAAACTGCGTAATGGAGTCAATGACCACTATGGATTACATCAATGAAGAACAAAGCATCTGAATTTGAAAGATCGTTCACTCCATGTTTCTAATTTCCCCCATAACTTTGTTCAGCACAGTTCTAAAGAGGCTGATATCGGTTCAGCTCGTCAAGAAATGTACTGTCTCTCAAGGAACAAAAATGTTCACACCCAAGTTCACAACAGCCTCGAACAGAATTCTCCTGAGCCAGTTAATTCATTGCAGAATCTCACAACAATCTATAATATGAACACCGTGACTGCTAAATACTGAGGTGGCAACAACGTAATTCCTAATGAATGTTCTGCACTGAAAGTTGGTGCTCCAACAGACCTTTGAAAAAGAGGCACATTGCTACAGTAATTTTTACGTGACTGTCATGCAACATCTGTTTCGACTTTATTTTTATGTCAACAACTAATGAGGCACATCATGCCGTCTGAAATTACGTAACTAGATATATAATCAACTTGAATTAACAAATTAGTCACAAACAATGACAGATCTGTGCATCACAGGTCCCACATCGTTACAGAACCCTTTGACGAAAAGTCATTGGGATGACCAGTCCCATGACAAGAAGCTAAATACACTGCCACGTCCTTCCCAAGGATTTTACAACGTTTTATTCAGGCAGTGACAGTGGTACTCTACAGAAGACACAGCATTAACATAGTTGCATATCTAGATGACTGGCTGTTATCTGGCCCGAATATACCTATGCAAAATATAATGCTCACACTCGCAGAATTAGGAATCACTATTAACACGTCAAAATCAATATTGCGTCCTACCCACCAAGTGACTTATCGAGGTCTTGAACTTAACGCCCGGGACCACACACCTTGGCTTATCCTGCATCTTCTAAACTCTTGGCCTTGATTCCTTTCTGATACATTTTACGTTTACCTCTTCTGTGAGAAAGACCTAGGCCAGTGATGCGCAACCGGTGTGCCGCGGAGGCCATCTAGGTGCGCTAAGAAATTTCCACCTCATATAATTATGACCATAATAAGATAAATAATTGTTAATCTTGTTTTCTGCTCTAAGTTTTCATTTTCCTTATTATGATCGGGCAGACTGAGGACAGATAAGATGTACTGAATGGAACTGGAAAACAAAACCACTTTGCAGCAAAACATGTGTACAGTCCGCAGACCAGGAGAAAATCTCTGCTAGGAATTCGTTATGCGCGCATGCGCGACATTTCGCGGTGAGTAATGACCCATCCTAAAAGCATTCGTTCCACAACCACTGAACGAACAACAGAAAACAGACTTCATGTGCTTTAATGGGTACAGCTTTAAGATTACCTCACAGTGGCACAGTGATTGAATCTAGAATATTATCGCAACACCCAGAAAACACATTAGAGGTGCACTCACTACACGCTACTCTTAACCGCTTGATGTTTTCAGTCTGTGTAGTAGCGTAAAACTCTAACGTATCACACTTCCCACCAATAGCAGCCCTCTAGTCCACCAGGCAGTAAACATTCCCCCCGCACCGCACCAGAAACGACTCCGCCATGCAGGGATTTTCTCGTGATCTGTGGACAGTACCTCCCCTTTACTTTTATTGCTACTCTACGTATTTTTCTGCAATCCACATGTACAAACACAAATAAGTATCTTTAAGTTTAAATGCTTACACAGTTAATAAATTTTGGATTAAGCGGTAGGAAATATTATATTTTAATGTATTTAAAATAATGAATATATTTAAAATAAATCATATAATAATAAAGATGTATATTATAAACATCAAATAGAACATTTTTCGGTTGGGGTCGATTTAGAAGAAGTTGTAGCGGCTCATCAATGCCATAAACCATCTACCGCACCCCACGATACGCAAATGCGGTTGGTGTGCCGCCATGACTGTTCGACAAAATTTAGTGTGCCGCGGGTATAGAAAGGTCACGCAACATTAACCTAGGAATTTCAAGAGCGTATAAACAGTGAAGTGAGTTAGTTTCAAGTGCCGAAGTCTGAAACGCAGTTATTTTGCTGTTCTTTGAGTGCAAGATGGCTGTGAAAAGACGTCATGGAAAAGAAATAGCATAGGAACTGAGTTTAGACTCTGTCACCCACATATCTGAAGATGAGGTTTCTTCTCAAAGCGACAGTGACGCTGAAGACGATAAAAGGACTAACAAAAGCTGCAGAGACTGGACCCATAATAGACAAGTTTACAGGGCGGCCCACTGGGTTGAGACAAAATGAGGCATCTCATATAAACAAAGCCTCGCCAGCACTGAGGGTATTCATGCTTGTAAACAAAATTTTAATGGTTGTAGGGGGAAAAAAACAAACAAACAAAAAAAAACCCGGATAATCTATGTAATGTGAGACATGAAGCTACCGGGTCTGCAATTTATGAGGCTGCAGTCGTGCTTCCATTGCGTAGTCGGCCGACGCACTGTTGATGTGGGCGGGAGTTTTCCGCGTTCTTCCGGTGGGTGACCGGTGAATCAGTTTCAGTGCCGCTAGTAACAGCGAACTACGAATATTTCTCGTCACTAATACATGTTATTACATTAATTGTTCTTACCTTAAATCACAAAAGATGTTCAAAGTGACTTCCTTGTGCTTGCAAGCAAGTTTCACATCTCGTTAACATGTTTCGAAATACTCGACGAAGTTCTTCTAGGGCAGAACCTTTAGGAATAAGAAAAGGGAATATCTGAAAGGTAAAATTATTCAGATTGAAACAAGTAAGGACAAATGGTTTTAACATAGCATTGTCCTTATTTTGCTTCTGGAAAATGAATTATTGAGCAGGATCAGCCTTCAGTTAGTAGCAAATAAAACAGTTGTATAAAACTCACCACTTGACTAATGCATAGGATCCAAAATTTATCCTGAAGTGAAGATATAACAATTTGTGGTGCAGCAAGTAATCTTAAATGTTCTGATCTGGCAACTAATGTTGTAAGATAAGCCCATGTTTGCAGGCATATAGCAGATTTTATGTTCAAAAGTGTCCACTAATTCTCAGCATTCCTTGCCTATTCAAAACCGGAGAGAAAAAACACTTTTCTTTGATAGCTGCTTTGTTCTCGTAATTTAACACTCAGCAGCAGAGCTGAGTAAAATTATTTTTGAATAAGTAAACCCTTTCTTCTAATTTTCCTCTCTCTCTCTCTCTCTCTCTCTCTTTTGCAGTGTCAGACAAACCTCAAGCAGTATGTCAAGATTCTTTGAAAGCCTGAAACTTAGAAAATAGCTTTACTACATCATCGCTGTCCCACAACTGTGATAGATAGTTTGTTTCTTAATTCAACAGCTGTCTAACATGTTGGCCACTGATCTTTTCGATCAACAATAGCTGTGAAGGTCCATGCCAAAAGAAACTGGAAGGCTTAGTTTCTCAGGGGCACTTACAATGGAAATAAAAGAAGTTGGTTTTTATTTCACACAACATGATACCATTTTAATTAGTTGTAAGTTCATGAATCTATGATACACAACTGGCTACAAATGTTTTTAATTTTTTATCTTGTTCATTTTATAAATAGGTATTATGCAAGAAGCTATCTATCTTGCATAGGTAAATATGTAAATAGTGAGTTGCATACCTTCAGTCTTTCTACGCTGCCCATGTCACTTGCACGGCTCTCGCTCTCAGTGACACCAGCATCGTTTATTTCACAATCACCATCACACGAACCAATACCTGATACACTTCCACTGCTTTCATCTAAGATAAACACTATTTCATCACCATCACACACTCTCCTTCTTGCCATCTTTCATAAATTCATATATAAACAAACAAGACAAAGAGGAGCCACACTCCTCTACCTTATTAAGAATACGAACACTCACACACACAATGAACAAGAGTTTTCCTCAATCCTGACATCTGTTGCTCTCTGTGGTACTACAAATATTTCCTCTAAACAGTAGAGTCATCTGCCGGCGTTACAACAACTGCTTACGGCCCAAACAAAACGAATACGGATTTTGAATAGGTGGAAAAATTTCTTTAACCAGCTCTTAAATGTTCATGGAACTGTTGATGTTAGACAGATTAAAATACACACGGCTGAACCGTTAATCCCAGAACCTAGTTTAGATGACGTTGAACTAGCTATTGGAAAGTTGAAAAGTTAAAATCTCCAGGTATTGACAGGAATGTACTTACACTTCTCGGGGCACGAGTCGCTAAGCTCTTGCGGGCCCCCTTTAAATATACCAGAGTTGAAAAAAGCATATATGAATATAATCAGAAAAAAAATATTTTTACCGATCTGTTTAAACACAAACGTTGTAATACTGCAAAATATAAAGAACAATACTGAACTAAACTGTGTCACAACAGCCCGTGAGGGTATGATGATGACCAGCCAGCCATACGGCTTTGGTGGGTCATCACGTGGTCAGCGCATCGACTCCCATCGCCGTGTTTCTGGCTTTTGTGACCAGCGTTCACTACCATTTCACAAGTAGCTCATTTCACATCACGATGCTGGGTGAACACCAACCAAAAAGCTAACTGAGGGCGGAGGCCTGCGCAAGCGCAAGCATCGTCCCTACCTAGGTGAAACCATTCCTGTGCACAAGGCGCATTGCTGGAAATGGTAAACGGTCTTAATATAAAAAACGGAAATTTTGCTAACGCTAACTGGGTTACGCCGTGGCTGGAGCCTCGACCATTCAAACTGGGATCTGTTGCTGCTGATGGGAGCTTATCCCGTCAGGCAAGTTGTCCAAAGGAATTTGGTTGGTTGGATCTCTGGGGTTTGAACCCAGAGAGGGAGGGGCCGTTTCGGCTGAAGGCCTCCGCGGCATGGGGT